ACCTATGCAAAATCATAATCTTCAGTTAATCTATAATATATCAGAAATCCTTCTCATAGTTTTCTTTCCTCGTCTCATCTAAAGGTTTAACTTTATTATTTCTCACATCTTCCGAGAATGTGCTTCCTTGTGCTTTTCAGTTTATCAGTGTATTTCATTTAAATATTTAATTTGCAACATATTAAGAAAAGAGCGAGCGGTTGACATTTGAGTCACTCAATTCTTATGTTTTGATGTTGTAATACAGATCAGAGATCAAAGGGATACAGGAGCATCAAATTGACATGGAGAACAAGGCTCTAGCAGTGATATTTGTAAGTTTTGTATTGGGATGTGTAGCAGCTTCCAAGTTGCTTATAAATATGCTATTGATCATCTGTAGATTTCAAACAGCTCAAAGTTTTTGTCAGACAAGCTCTGGTTGGTTTTTGTTGCTGCTGAGCAGTAGCATTATAGCATCTATTATGGTTTTGTAGTGTAGTTACATGTATTATGTTTCTGTAGTTGAGGCAAAAAACTTCTGCAATGCGATTTTGATTCAGAGTTTCAGCTGGAAACATATTTTGGTTCAGATTACTATCGTGGCACTGATAAACTGACATGCCTACGTGTTTCTGCAAATGAAATAATGAATGAATCTGTTCAAGAGACAAAAGTTAGCTGGAAAATCTGATAGGGCTCATGATTGTACAATCAGTGTTGGCGTTCAGATTAAAAGATATTAAAGGAAAGGATATGAAGGTCTCGAAACTAAATAAAGATCTTGATTTTATAAGGAAAAAAGGGAGAAATAGCAGGACTAAATAGATAAAAAATGAAAGCTTCACTTATCATAATTCATGAACTGACATGCTTCAAACCCTATCAGATCTCACCACTAGACAACCTATGACAGCCTGCAGACCCAATAAAGAAGCAACAATGAGTACCGTAGATAGATCAAAACTCAAAATTGACTAAGTTATTGTGATGACTTTAACAATTTATGATGCACTTATTATTTTAAATGGTTTCACAGTCTGCACAAGTTTACATAATGTACATCTTTATTATGGCCAACTAATAGTATGGTAGTCATGCAATTCTTGAAAGTTAAAGTTGGCATGTGTTAAGCATGTGACTAGGCCTCTGATGGTAGTTCATTTTTCCTTGGACTCATCGGTTTTTTTGCTTCTGTATGTTGTGATGTTGCTTGCAAATGACATGGAAATGGATGAGCCAATGCTGAAGTATAAGATAATTCTTACAATCAGAAAAGCGAAAGTTGAACTGTGTGTCAAGCTTAACCTAATCCTCTAATGGATTGTTTCTGTATATTGTGATGTTTTGCTGGCAAGTGACATGGAAATAGATGAACCACTGCTTTAATATATGGAAGTCTTGCAATCTGGAAAGAAGCTAAAGTTGGATCGAGTTAAGCACCAAGCATAGCCTCTAGTGGTTGTTTCTCTTCGTCTTGAACACACATTGGTTTGTTTCTGTATGATGTGGTGTTTTGCTTGCAAATGACATGGAAATATACGAGTCACTGACTGATGAAGTATATCAAAGTCTTGCAATCTGGAAAGCTAATGTTAGATTGACCATAAGCCAAAGTCTATAATGAGAGTTCATCCTTGCTTTGAACATTTTGATTTTGCTTATTATGTTCTTATGTTTTACTCGCAAATGACATGGAAATAGATGAGCCACTGCTTTAGCACATGGAAGTCTTGCAATCTGGAACAAACTAAAGATGGATCGTGTTAAGCATGTATCAATGTTTCCAAGTGCAAGGAAATCTTGCAATTGGGAAAGCTAAAGTTGTATTATGTTTGTGTGTGTGTGTTAAACACTTGTCAAAGCCTCTAACGGGAGTTCATGTTTGCCTTCAACATATAGTTTGCTTATTGTATGTTGTGATGTTTTACTTACAAATAGATGAGTCACTGCTCCTAATATATAGTAGTCTTGCAACCTGGAAAGCTAAAGTTGGATTGTGTTAGGCATAAAGCAAAGCCTCTCTAACGGCATGTTGTGATGCTTTTGCGTGTAAATGATACAAAAGTTCATGTTTGCCTTCAACATATAGTTTGCTTATTGTTTGTTGTGATGTTTTACTTCTGAAGCATATCAATCTTGGATTGTGTTAAGCAGTTCATCTTTGCTTGAACTCATTAATTTGTTTCTGTCTATTGTGATATATTTCACTCAAAAAATACAAAGAAATGATGTTTGGGGGCATGAGGAGGTCCACAAGATGTGTAGTATTGGTATCAGAGAAATACTGCTGGTCCTGTTTGTAGGTTCATTTGGTCTGTTCTGAAAAGAAATGTGCTGTTTTCCACCTAAAGGTAACAACAACTCTTCATGCCAAGGATTGACAATTTAGTCTTGGCATGAAGTGTAAAAAAGATAAGAAGTCAACTCCCCAACTCTAAGCATTCTTTATTATAGATATTTAGAATATTTTATTCATAGATATGAAGCATTTCAATAGTTACTAGCCATGTTGTTGGCACTCATTTCCTTACAGATGTGGAAATCCATTGTTTGCCAAATATGGAGTCTTATTCTCAATGTTCCTTTCTGTGCTATTAGATCTTTGTTGCTGATACCGAAATAATAATTTAAATCTTGCTGTTGTGTTAAAGTGGATCTTTAATATTTCTTCTTAATAAATCATATTTAGAAATATTAATCATAATATAATAATGTAATTACTAGTGCGTCGACATTCATGTGCTCTCTAATATCGCAGTCTCTTACGCAATCTCTACCATGTGGTGGTGTGAGGAATAGCTTTCTTGGAATGCAGATATCGTTAGTTGGTACCAGCAATTCATGTGGTGGTGTGAGGAATAGCTTTCTTGGAATGCAGGCATACCTAATGATATCTTTAGTTGGTACCAGCAATTCATGTGGTGGGCACACGGATCCCACCTTCATGACTTCCAAGTCACACCTTAGTTCCCACCTAAAGTCACGAGTTCGTGGAGGAGATCCTCTGTTAACCTTTCACAAAGCGAAAAAGAAAAAGAGTAATTATCCGACAACGATTAAGTCGTTAGTGTTGGGATATTAAATTAAAATTAAACTTTATAATTAAATGAGAGAGTATTAATTAAGTCGTTATAATTTTATAATTAAATAAAATCGATAATATAATGTATTTAATATTTTTAAAGAGAGAAGAGATACGGGTGGGTTTGAGGATCCAAAGATCAAAGCCTATATATTTCTTCTCCTCTAGTAATAATGCGTTCGTTGTTGAGGACTTAGCACTTGAAAAAAGGGGGACCTAACCAGGGCTAAATTTCTCTTCTTGTGCTCTCTAAATTTACCATTTTGGATTCGTTTTTCACCTAAGAGAGCATTCATTATAACTTGTGTTTGAAGGATCCAATCATAAGTGCATCTACTCATTGGAAGAGAACTTTGGTTCAATTGGAAGGATGAGAGATACATCATAAGGAAATATTTGATCGATCAAAATCTGATTTGAGTAGCTAATGGTTCAAATTTTGATGGTAGGGATAGTTTAATTAGTAAAGACTTTGACAGATAGAATATATCATAAAATTTTGAACTAAAATTATATCTTCATCATTTACTCTTTGTAAAAAAAATAATAATAATGATAATAATAATAGAGTTCTCTCGATCGGATCCAATCGAGTTCTCTCACGTTTCTCTCTGCTGTATCTATCATCTTTAAAAATAGAATTGTTCTTTTTTGCTTAAAAAAGGATGAATATATATATATATAAAAGCATTCGAGTTCTCGATCGGGTCCAATCGCAAAACCTACTTCACATGCAAATTACGTTCACGTTTCTCTATCTCTCTCTCTCTCTCTTATTTCAAGGAATAAAATCTATCTATCTATCTATCTATCTATCTATCTATCTATCTATCATCTTTCGAAAAAGAGTTGTTTTTTTGCTGAAAAAGGAAGAATTAGGTTCATTTCACAGTGACGCAAGCAACATAAAAACCTCCTTTGTCGAATCCGAGACGCAAAATAATGCCACCGCGCCACGCCAAGTGGTTTACAAGTGCTCGTCGAGTGCAAGGAAAGATTTCCTGTTGCTGCATTAGAAAATGATGTCAAGTGCTGTGGAATTTTATGTTCCTTTTTTTCTTGACTCTATCGATTAGAATACTGTTAGATGGGTGGATTACATCACTGTTGAGATTCCACATTATTGCTAACATCTGCTGCGTGATTCAATTCAACTTATTATTATTATTATTATTATTATTATTATTATTATTATTATTATTATTATTATTATTATTATTATTATTATTGCATGTTGACATGATATTTATTTTTAGAGGTCAAATCATGAAAATTTTGTGTGTATTATTCGTGGGTTTATAATCTATTGGCCATTGATTCTTTTATTACATTCTATGGATCGAAACTCATCTCGGTTAGATCAATAGAAACCATAGCATCAATCACGTAAACTTGAAACACGCATCAAACGACGGACGCCACGTCAAAAGTATTTTAACGAATCATTGTTGTCATCCAATGCCAACTCGGTAGGTTAATCTCACAAAAGCCACTCAACTCAATCAAGCCTAGTCGGCAACATAACGTGCACTTCAAATCCGACACCCCTCCCTACCGAGAGGAAACTTTGATCATTAAGCAATAGGTAAAGAATTAAGATACAAATATGCCATTTAAATGTTTGAAAATGATGTATTTCCTCATATAAATTGTGATAAAACACATAAATTTGGACCTTTTAATTTGTCACTATATAAAAAAAAAAAGTAAAAAAAATCCTTATATAAAAAAGTATACACTAAACTTAAATTCAAAGAATACATACCAAAATTTAGAGGCATATATACATATATACATACATACATACATACAGCCTCTAAATTTTGGTATGTATATTGATACACGCCGTGACAAAAAGGTACGAAGTAGTTTTCCCTTAATTCTCGCCACCGCAATTTTCGTCTCAGAAAGCTATAAATAGCTATGATTACCTTCCACCCACAACAAACAACTCATTGCCTTCTCTCCTCCTCCCTTTTTATCATTCCTTCAAACTCATTTCTTTTGAGAGTCGACATTGGGTTTCTTTAGGAGGAGGCTTATGAGATTGAATCCGAAAGGTATGGCCTCCTCTACGATGTATAAGTTAGATGGAGATCGAGAGCAGAGTGGAGGAGCCATAGGACTCTTCAGGTTTTTTCTTCTTTTTTCTTTTTGTATCTAATAAGATTTTTCTTTAATTCTTTTTTAAACTATTATTGATCTGATTCGTAAGACTTCAATATCTGCGTCTCCATTTGATGATGCCAATTACAGAAGTGAAGCCACCATGAGCGACGACGTGTGCTTTGAGATCCTCGCCAGGCTCCCAGTCGAGGCCCTGTTCCGATTTAGCTGCGTCTCCAGGGAATGGCACCGCCTTATCTCCGACGACTACCTCCGGTGGCGGCTTCCCCTTCTCGCCTCCGCTGTCTTCTACCGCTGCGGCGATGGCGAGAGCGAGAAGCCCCGGTTCGCGTGCACGTCCCGCGGCAGCCTCCGTGAATGCAGCCTCGAGTTCTTCCCCTTCCATCGGAGCTCCGCCATCGTCGACTGCTGCCACGGCCTGCTGCTCTCCTACTCGAGCTTCCACTCCATGTTCTACGTCGTCAGCCCCATCACCATGAGATGGGTTGAGCTGCCGCGGCCCCCCAAGAGAGCGCAACTCTCGGTGCTCGCCTTCGACCCCCGGCACTCCTCGGAGTACAAGGTGGTCGCCTTCACCGGCTGGCTCCCGCGGGGCGCCGAGCTCATGGTCTTCGCGTCGGAAACCGGGAGGTGGGCCGAGCGCAGCGTGCAGTGGGGGCTCGACCCCGACGCCATGACCACCACGTTGCGGTACTTCGCGGGGACCCTCTATATCCTGGCCCACCCGAACTACGCCGTGGCGGTCGACCTCGGCGACGACAGCGTGTGCCGTCTGATCGAGCTGCCGGAGGCCATGAAGCATGGGGCGCGTCTCGACATGTCCGCCGGCGGTCTGCAATACGCCTGCAACGACGGCGGTCGGCTCAGGGTGTGGATGCACAACGAGTCGAGCGGTGGTGGGTGGGTGCTGAAGCACAGCGTCAACGTTAATGGAGCAGTAGTGGCGCTGCATCCGGAGAGGGAGGTGGCGTACCTGAGGGCGGACTGGAAGCTCGTATCGTATGATCTGAGGAAGAACAAGGTCGAGGAGGTGTTGGAGATGGAGGAGGAGAGGGAGACGGCATGCTATGTGGTAAACATGTGGTTATTTCCTTTCTCGCGGCACATGTCGGATTGCTTGGCCACAAGGACGGTGGTGGAGACATATCCAAGTGATGCGAAGGAATACAGTGTGTGAATGTGACAAAGTGCAGTTGTTCATCATTATCTTTAGAGAAAAATCCATGACCATACGTTTTCCATCCTTTATATATATATATATATATATATATATATATATATATATATATATATATATATATAAAACGTTAAAAGAACATCAACGTTATATTATCATTAAAAAAATCAAATGATTATATTATAAATATATTATATAGTAGTACCGACGGGGCCGCGATCGTCGCCGTGACAGCACGTATCAGCACAGGTGATTCGTGTGTGCCACCTCCCCCGCCGTGTGTTGCCCACCTGTGCCCATACATTCCCCTTCCTTGCTTCCGCTCGATTCGAGAGTTCACTAAGAGTGAACGCCTCAATGTGGGTCTTGGTTTGCGTACAAGCCGAAGCCACCCTGTTCCCTCTCCACCCACGCCACTCAGCTTCTTCCCCAAACCAGCACTCCGCGTCTTCTGTTCCTTTCATGCCCTATATATGCTCTTCACCTTCCTCTCTCTCTCTCTCTTTCTCTGTGAAGCCACCCACCATGAGCGACGATGTGTTCATGGAGATCCTCGCCAGGCTCCCTTTGAAGTCCTTGTTCAGGTTCAAGTGCGTCTCCAGAGCCTGGCGCCGCCTCATCTCCGACGACTACTTCCTGCGGCGGCTGCCGCTGCTCACCTCCGCCGTGTTCTACCACTGCAACGCCGACGCCAAGGAGGCGAGATTCGCGTGCACCGCCGGCGGTGGCGATCTCCAGGAGTGCGGCCTGGAGTTCTTCCCCTTCCACCGGGACTCCGACATCGTCGACTGCTGCAGCGGCCTTCTGCTCTCCTACTCCAGACTCCGCGCCACGTTCTACGTCGTCAGCCCCATCACCAAGCGGTGGGTGGCGCTGCCGCAGACACTTAAGAGCACCCATCTCGCCGTGCTGGCCTTCGATCCCTGCCACTCCTCGGAGTACAGGGTGATCTCCTTCACCGGCTGGATCGCGCAGGGTTCCGAGCTCGAGGTCTTCTCGTCGGCGACCGGGGACTGGGCACAGCACAGCCTGCACTGGGGGGTCGACTCCGACACTATGACGGCCACGCTACGGTACTTCGCTGGAATCCTCTACGTTGTTGCCTTCCCCAACTACATTGTGGCGATCGACCTCGACGGTATGAGGTGCCGTCGGATCGAGTTGCCGGAGCCCATCAAGCCCGAAGGGAGCATCGACAAGTCCGGCGGTTTTCTCCACTACACCTGCAGCGACGGCGGCCGGCTCAAGGTTTGGATGCTCGAGGACGCCGACGGTGGTGAATGGGTGCTGAAGCACAGCATCGAGGTTGCGACGATCTTGAGACAAGTTCCGGTGAAGACGCGTCAGCAGCTGCAACTGTTGGCGCTCCACCCGGAGAGGGAGGTGGTGTACCTGCGGGCGCCGGGGAGGCTCGTGTCGTATGACCTGGAGAAGAAGGAAGCCGAGGTGGTTTGCGAGTTCAGGAAGGAGAAGGAGGGAGTTTACTTGGTGCAGATTTGGCTGTTCCCTTTCTCGGGGCACATGTCGCATTGCTTGGCTCATTGAAGGCAGTAGACATCCAGTAAAAGCTGAAAGAAGAGAATGCAGTAATGTGTCAGTTCATCTCTCACAGATACTTGTAAATTGCTTTGATGATTTCCATTAAAGCTATGCATTCGACAAATTATTTATGAAGAAGGCATGTCCATACTTTTTCACTGCTGCACGTAAAGTTACACAAAATTTATCCCCTGGTCCGACAAAAGACACATTAAAGCCTAAAGCAGTGGTTTAGAGTGAGTACAACAATAAAAAAATATCTTTCCTAAATTGAATGAACATCACAGAGAACAATTGGTACTCGAGAGGAATCCAGATAAGATTGCAAGGCTACCAGCAGCTCATCAATCACAATGGAAAGAAGGAACCATAAAAGACAGATTCCGGTGTCAAATTGGATGAAGACACCAGTGTGGGCACGAGATCACATGCGACGTGTAGATGCTGGAGTCAACCAAGGAAAAATAAAGAGAAGACCAGATAAATGCCGCATTTCAATGTACTACAGCAGCTTGAAGCGTATTTTGAATGCATTTACTTCTTGAACATATTCTCAAGATGCAGAATGCGGAACACAACGACGACAAGTTTTACATTGAAGTATGAACAGAAAGCAATGTAAACTACTTTCTCCAGTAGCTCGTCACCTATCTCCAACGAAATAATGCAACTAAGATGTTGATGAATCTATATTGCATCTTACATAGCCCAACAATTAACAGAAGGTTGTGGCACATTGATAGTGCCTCGTGCTACCCATGGTGCTTGATACGAGGAAAAAGCCCTAGAATGTGCTCTGACATGAAATCGTGTCGTGTAAGAATCCCGACAATAGGAGGCCTCTGCAAGCAAAAAACAATCTCTCATGTGAGATAGCTGAAGCTTGTTACAAATTGTTGGAGAAAGCAAACATACAAGAAACAGAAACCAAAGTAGGATTCTCAGTTAACAAGCCATATGAATAGACGCATGTAGCACCAACTAAACTAGGTTTTGAGGTGCTCCAAGAGTGCCACATCTTACAACAGAGAACCCATGATACATGAAGTTACATGAACATATTAATAACCAAATAAATTGACAACTAATCATCACCATATGAACTTCTTAAGCTGGATCATTCAGAACCAGTCAGAGTTACCCATTAGTGGAAGTTGGAAACTACAAACTAGCAGCATAGTTGCATAACAGAAGAAAATTTCTATCTGAGCCATTCTGTTCTAAAATCTCTGTCTGTAATTACCAAGGCCTATGTAAATTCAACAGGATGCTCATACAAATAAAAAAAGGTGCACCTTTTATTGCCTCATTTTTAGAGGAAAAACAAGGGCATGGTATAGCTGTAATTCACTTCAGAGGCTTTGAATTCCATTGACTTCCATGAAATCAGCATAGTAGTGCTAAATTATGTATCTAGAGTGAACTTGCTAAATTTAAAAGAAATGATTGGTTCATCAATATGCAAGTAATGTGAGTGCGTAAGAAACTTCATTTTAATGTTAAAGAAAGAAAAATACCAGAGAGGATATTCTAATTCTGGTTGGAGAATATCAACATAGTAAAATACTGAATTATGCATCTAGAATGAACATGCTAAATTTAAAAGATATGATTAGTTGATCAATATGCAAGTGATATAAGTGTGTAAGAAACTTCACTTTAATGTTAAAGAAAGAAAATTACCAGAGAGGATATTCTAGTTCTGGTTAAAAGTAGCTCAGTTAACTCATTGAAAAATATCAGCAAAATAAAATACTACAAGAAACTCTTACCAGAGATATAAGCTTGTGGCAATTTGAGGTGCTTAATTATTGCATTCAATTATCTAACTACTGATAATAATATACCTAAAAGTGCACAAGTGGAAGGACTACTCACCCCTGGAGTCTTTGGCACAACACATAGATGCCTCAGTCCGAGCTCTCTGAAAAGAATTGCAGCCTTTGCCAGAGACATGGTCTCCGCCACTGTGTATGGTGATCTATTAGTAATTGGGTGGAGATCAACATACATTTCCATCTCCTCTTCATTGATATCTATTTCCTCCAATTTCACACCCTTACCAGATCCTGCTTTCGCAAAATCATATGCACCAAATCTCTGCAAAACATCTGCTGCCCCGGTTGACACTCTCTCCTTTGTAAATCTCTTTCCCTTGAGCAACACAAGCAGATGTGTTCTTAGTACAAGTCCACACAGTTCTGGTACAACTGAGAAAGGTGGCTCATCAACTACCGGAAATCCATTATGACCTGTCAATCGTATGGCATGAACTATATTTCCCACCCTTTCAACCCCAGAGAGGGTAACGAGTGGGCCTGAGACCACATCACTGGCCACCAAGTTTCTCATGTAAGGCTCAGCATGAGCCTCCATGAAAGGGAAACCCTTCATCTTCACCATTTGATCATAAACTCCTTTGTTGAAGCAATCAGCAACAGTTTTGGACACAAGGAGAACAAGCATTACCAAGGGGAGCATCAGAAGATCATTGGTGAGCTCAAGTAGTATGACACAAACTGAGACTGTCATTCTCATAGTTCCTCCAAGAAAGGAAGCTGCGCCAAGGAGGGCAAACAATCCTTTATCTAGTTTAGATAAAGAACCAAGAAAGGTGCCCACTAGACGACCATATGAGGCTCCAGCCAATATGACAGGGATGAAGAGGCCAGAAGGGACGGCAATGCCATAAGTAACAATGCCAAGGCAATAAACTCCAATGAAAAAGATGAAAAGTGTAGAAAGACAGAACTCATTGTCAGTGCCACCACTAAAAAGATTACGAATAGCATCATCATTGGTGTTGAGAAAGAGGGAGGCAAGGTCATTGTACTGGTTTGGAGGACATTGGAAATTCTTATAGTTGCCAGAGCGACCAATGGTTGGGCATTGATCATGTGCATCTGGAGGGCATGGGGTGCATTTGGCCAGCCATGGAAGTCCATATGAGCAGCAAGAAGTCAACAGGGAGACAGCAACTGTGAGAAGGATCTTGAATGGAGCTCCTCTCCTGCAATAGGTTAAAGCACCATAATAAATGAAAACTAAAGATTCGGATATTATAGCATTGTGACTATACATGTCAGAAACTATAACGAAATAGAATTTGATATAGCATCCAAACTAGAAACTATAGAAAAGATGAACCAAAAACGAAGTAATCAGAGCATACTCATTGAAGATGCTATATGTGCGAAGTGTCTTGTCAATGAGAAAGTTGTACAGACTTCCAAAAATACCACCAACAATACCAAGAACTATCACTGCGATCAGATCAGGTGTTCCATATGCAGGAACACTGGAGCTGAGGTCAAACATTATCAATCCTCCCTGCCCAAAGAGACCACAGTTTCCACTGCGGCAGAAGTCTATAAAAGTTCTCAATACCACAGCAACTACTGCTGTTGTGAAAAATGTTCTCCAAAGAAGGGCACTTCGCCACCTGAAAACACAAGAACAATGACATTTTTATAATATCATTATAATTTAAGGGATATATTAATCATACTGTAGAATTGCAATACATTATGTCCTTTTCCAAAGTAGAATTTTCTCCAACAGTTAGTGGCAATCTTCCTGCTACACATAACACATATATATAACTGATGCCAAGCTACTATTTTTTGGTATGACTTTTCTGTTAGGATGTGCTCATAAGTTCTACATTGTATTAAGTTACCAATCAAGACATGGGCAAACCATCGAGAGACTTATGACATTGTTTTATTACTTTTTACTATGCTGCTGATATATCATGAACTTCTGCGATTATTAAATAAAAACAATCTCAAATATGAATATCTGAACAACTACCACTTAGCCTTCAACAAATTTAAGTAGTAAAAAATCTTTATATGTGCTTAGAGAAAGAATGATACCAAGATGCTGCTTCTTCAAGGGCAAAGAGGACCCCACCTACTGGGGCTCTAAAGGCAGCTGCCACACCTGCAGCTGCCCCACAGGTTATCAGATCTCGACGATCTCGATCATTCTTGAAGTATCTGAGCCATGTCCATGTTAGACGGTACTTGCGTGATCCACCCTGACCAAGAAGGGAAGCTATGCATGCTCCAGTGTGTACCATAGGCCCCTCCTTACCCAAGACAAATCCAGCAGAAACTCCCCCTATGGAGCCAAATATCTACAGATTAACAAATCAAAATTAATCAGCCATTCTCGGTGAAATAGTGGGGTACTATCAGCTGTTCATATATTCTTTCTGTAATAAGTTGTTTTAAAACTTTCCAATACAACAGAGATGGTTATTTGTCCTTAAGCATATGAAAATTTCTGAGAAATGACTGCAGCTAGCATTCCTGACAAGCACCTTGATTGGATTTTGATTTAAAATGCAAGATATATAGAGAGCTTGCTGAGGTTTTTACATAGCCTTGATTGCAAAAGATTGAGAAGGATACACATCTATGTAACTGCAGGAAATTCCTAATATAACATGCTTAAGAAATACCAATGACCAGCTACCCATTTCTCCTCAAACTTCTCTATATGATTTTTCATGCTGGGTTAGTTAATGATATTAATATTCTTTTATGGTCCATGCAGCCCTCATTCTTAAGATCTTGGTTATTGGAATTTATTTTATAGTCCATGCAGCTCTCTAACTATGCTTAGGATCTTGGTTGCTCTTAATCCAGTCAAAACATCTAAAAGACTGAATTAAAACTCATATTTATAGTGACCAAATTTTTAGCTCAGTAAATTCCGCCTCAAAGTGAAAAAAATTTGAGCATAGAAGTTATTGTATTAATTTCCCTGGAGATGTTGAGACCAGACTTGATTGGTGATCACAATAATGTGAAAATAATTTACTGAACCTCAAGCCCTACTGTGATTTTCTTCAATAAATCAGGAAGATTGATGGAAGTGATACACATTAGAAAACCTGGATATCAAGTTGCTTCTTGTTGCTATCCAGTTCCATAATTACAGTTGAATGTAGAACAAGAAAAACAAGAAACAGGCCAACAATATCAGGTTAGGTCCTACCTTCACAAAGAGTGTACTAGGAGCCAATATTGAATAAGCATCAACACCATTTAGATAAGCTTTAACTTCAGGAATGCCAGATCCAGCTGCCGCAGGCGCAACATAAGCACATAAGGCAGCAGCAGCTGCTGCCAGAACTAAGTTGCAGCCAGCATATACAACAAATGCTTTGTGATAACTGCACTGAACCAGATAATGATCACTTAAACTTATTCTAGAAAAGTGAGTAGCAGAAAACATCATAGAAGTATTCGGTTTACATTAACATAATAGCTTGGAGCCTATTTCCTGCAGTATTTTCAGTATGAACTTCTCCTAAATGCAATAATCCAACTGCAGTCTGATTCATCAGAAAATGGTCTACTAACACAAATTCCAAATTCAGTTTTAATCAGAGAAAGATATGCTTAATGAAAGCAATTGCCTCCACAATATATAAACTTGAATTTGTGGAACATTACATAATTTAATTGTTAAATATAGTGAACACTTAAAACCAACTTTCTAATAAGCTATTCTAGGCCTTATCCCATAATGATCACTCACCATAAACATGGTGCGCATCTTTGTATGTTCTGGAATGATACGTTTTAGACAACTCTTTCTTCAGTGATTTGTAAAAAATTAGCTGATCTCTTCTTCCATAAAATCCTTTTTGGTAATTATTAGAGTAAGGCTAAGCCATTAACAAACGCTAACTCGATACAAGGGAAAGGTAGAAACCTCCATCATTGTTAATTTCTTTCACTTGTAGGTCCACTAGATCTTCCCAGATTCTAACAATGATAGTAGCCGAACAATTGGTTCAAGCACTGGAGTGATGCATATTTCTATCAAATTATCTCATGTTCATACTAATTACTAGAGCTGTCCATCATCAGCAGTTTCCATAATAGAAAAATTAAAATGACTGCCTATTTGTAAATGTTTGTAATGCACAGCCTAGCTACATTCAATAAAACCATGTCTATTTTAAAACCAGGGTTGATACATGATGTACATAGACAATATCTATATATCCTTGCTAGTTTCTCAATCTTCACATATACTGGCCATGTAACTGAAAAGCATTGCTGCATTCCACTTATGAAAAAGCACAATATCACAAGCAAAATTGTTGCCAAAATATTACTAAGGTGACTAGCAGAGGTGTCCGGGATCCTAGTTTGAAACTATATATATTTTTCTTATCAATACATAATGGTTAGAGTAGTAAAAAAGATGCAATAACTAAACATACTTAATTCAAGTCTTCATTTCTTGATTTACAAAGCACATGATTAAAAAAAAAAATGCTGCCACCAATTTTGGGGTCTTGCATGTCATTACTTGTTCTGATTTTTGCCAGGTCAAGAATTTGAAATCCTTTTGATATTAAGAATAAAAGAGGAGGTGATTCATGACCAGGAGAATTACTTAGCTAAAATACTTGGGCAGTCATCTTTACAAGCATCCAAACCTAGAACCCACTAAAGTGAAGAGGGGAACCAACCAATCACCCAGGGTCACATTGATTCCTTCTTATGTGATTATGCTTCACAATTTATCCCTCATCATCCTTTCAAACTTTGCATATGCAAGATGGTCAAACTGTCTACTGAAACATAGCTTTCCTATGCTATATGAAACCTCAGGCTGATCTTTCAAAAAAAGTTTACAAATCAGAAACTCAGGTTTCTTACATTTCCTCATCTTTGGATGCATTATAACAATCTGTTGAAGTGGTTTCAATAGATGGTGTAAACGTTACCTATGCTTCAGCATAAGATTACTTGTCAGCAACAACTTAAATCCAGCTATATTCTCCACAGCAAGGTTGTTGAAAAATCCAACTAGCCCAGTGACCAAGCCTATAAGAAGTGCAAGGGTCCACTTAAGAACTACATACTGAAATATCTGAGCTTTTTTCCTTGATCTCCAATCTTCTTTATATAGGTCATTCTCCACAATCCTGCAGAAAGTAGAGAGTTCAAGTATCATTGATAAAATACTCATATACCCTAATTATAATTTGTACAATAAACCAAAATAAACAAAATTCTAACATCTTTTTGAACAATTGTGCAACATTCTAAGATAGACCTGAGATGAATTCAGATCAGTGTGCAACTAGAAGCCTATATTTGGTGAAGAAGCTTTAGTTAAACTCTGAAATATTTTAACACACTGTGAAATACAATCTGTAGCAACACATTTTTTAATAACACAACAAATGCCATCTTTGTTTAACATCTATCATTTCCTCATGTCAGTAAAGGTTGTTACGTCTCAAACAAGTGAAGGTCTGATCCATAGTAAATTGTCCTTTCTAACTTAGTTGCAGACAAAGAATTTCCTCCAGAAAGTCAATTTATGCTTACAAAGAATTTAAAGCTAGAAAATATATCATACTAAGCATCTATATACAGAGGTAGGGAAAGACTGAAATTTTACAGTGTTATATAGCATTTTCCTATCATGTCGTTCAAGGATAGGTTGCCGGAGTGTCCCCCAGGCAACCAGAAGATCAAGTAAGCAAGGTCATAAATGCATAATTCCAAGCGGCGGATAGAGAAACGATATAGATAAATCTGCATCGATTTGGTATTGGTCATAAATCCATAATTCCAAGCGGATAGAGAAACAACATAGATAAATCTGCATAGATTTGGTATTAACAGGAAAAATAAAACATTAGACCAACTCTGTTTATCTGATGGTTTAATTCTCAGCCTCAGAATTGCATGCAGCTTAAAGAAATAAAATGCGAGAAGTTACCACAGGGGATGCCCTTACTCATAGTCCAAACTCTCGATGGGGCAGACGTTGGCGCCAACGACGGCAAGCTGCGACGTGGTATTCATGGTGCGCCGCCTGAGGAGGGGCTCCCTCATGCCCGCCTCCTTGTCATCGAAGAAGTTTGACCCATTCCTCTTCATCTCCCTCGGCGCTGCCGCCTCGTCCACGGTACTCTCGATGTCCTCACCGCCCTCGCTGTGATCCATCTCTGCTTAGCTTCGTCAACTTTACATGACCTGCTTCGTAACAACAGATCAGAGAAGGAAACCATCTGAAAACACCGTCCAATAAATAGCCTATCGTCGTTTCATCTGCGAGATCTAATTAATTACAAGGATATCTTCTTAATGCGTGCAATCTTTAACGATAAGAACCGACTGCACTTGTGTTCGACGGTGTTGCTTGCAGTGTGGATGAGCCCACGGAAGCGCGAAAGCTTTTAGTGATCGTCGAGAAATCAGGGCCGTCCAATTGAAAAGATGGACGGCGACGTTGCTCCGTTTCGTTAGCTGCCAAGGCGTTACGTTGGTGCACGCGTCGACAACGGCCCAGGAGTTCGAGGAACAAAGTTACCCGCATCTCTGACCTTCCCAGGAAGCGCACCGGTGGTCCCACGTCGGCTGCTCTCTCTCCAATGAGAAGGCTGGTATGAAGGAGGATAGCGTGCAGCCACGTAACTATTAATCATTCCTTTAACCTCCTGTAATTAGCCAATAAGTAACGACAGGTGGATAAACCTCATTTAATCCATGAAGAGATCTCCCCAGTAAATATTTTTCCTGCATCAGAGTATCACCTGAGGCGCAATTGGAACAATCGTGATGCTTATCACCCTATAATTACATGTGATTGAGAACAGATACAGTATGGTTTTTTTTATTTTAGGTGGCCACTTGCAATGATAAAGCTAAGGAAAGGACAATTCAATTGTTGGAAGAGGTTTCAACGCACAGATATAGTTTCCAATGCTCACCACCGCAACAGCTTGCAGACTTCATTGGACGTTCTACTTAACTAACATTCGAAGCTAATCTTTCCTGTCAACATGCGACAAACACGACCTATCATGGTTATGCATTGAAGCTCGAATGCATAGGCCTTCGAATCCATCGATTGAACTCCAAGCGAGAATGGGATGCGCGAACCGACACCGATTCCAATGCCATGGCGTGTGTGATCGTCACAGCCATGTATACCGTACGAAGACCTTGTACGATTAGGTCCGTCTGTTAACATCCCTAATAGGGATGTTCTCGTACGCATCAATGCCGAATGAGACGGGGAACGAGAGAGGTCCAGTCCCGTTGCTTGGCCTGCTCCCAGTCACTATTCTTGGAAAGGGGTAAAAAATTGCTTGGAAAGAAAAGGAGGAGAAGAATCGAAACCTTTTGAGCCGATCGGTCTTGGATGCCGATGATGTAGGTTGGAATCGATAAAGCAGAGGAGCGATGAAGGGATTACCTCGAGGGGAATCAAAAGCGATCAGGAGAGATTTCCGGCTCTCCGCATCGATCGACGAGCACCCAAAAGGAGGAGGAGGAAGGAAGAAGAACGGAATCCAATCAAACCCGTTTTTGGGGCTCCTTTTCCGCGAGGACGGAAGAAGCAGAGCCGGATCGTGTTCGTGGGAAGGAAAGCGACGGAGAGCGGAGACAGATTTGGGAGTTGGCGAGGAAGAGACGCGGTAAACGAGGAGCGGTCTTCCCCCACTTTATATAGCGGCCTTACGGTTTTGGTCTCGGCTTTTGTGGGGTAAGAAAATAATTATTACATGAAATAGGAACTTAACTGTTGAGATCTGGAATTACCAACCGTGGACGTCTGATCACGATCGAACGGTCTAGATGATAAAGCGACGCTTGGTTGTCATCACTGTATGCTCGCATGACATCGTGTGTGAGAATGCTTGCGGACCGACCAGCTCACTTGGCACGAATCGTTTTGGGCTATAGATGGGCCAGTTGTGGTTGTGATTCATGTTGGATTCCACGTGTTGATATATGATTGGATATCTTGTGTTTTGAACTATAAAGTGGGTATTGGATCCTTTTGAACTAATTAGGATCTTCTAACGATACAGATCAATCGGGATTTAGAATAAGATTTTGATACGTAATGGACAAGTCACGTCATGCCTTCTGACTCTTTAATTGATATAGATTAATAGGTGATAGTGAGTTTGATGATATCAGCATGGACCCATTCACCCAACTGACAACTTGCTGCCACCTAAATGATAACGTGGGCAGAAAAACCCATACGTCTCCCCTTTCCTAGTGGCGAACGACAGGGTAGCGACCTTCCACCCTCGAACAATTGTAGTTTTCGAAAAAATGATATAAGTCGATTGTTGGAAGCACTAATCCCTAGCGACAAATCATATTTGCTCCCTTCTTTGGTAGCTTAGCGCGTAGGCGATCATCACCCGCTTATCTCAGGCATTAGCATTAACAAATGATACCCTTGTAATTATCCTTCATTGACGACATAGTGAATAGGCCCATACTTATCAGTTATCAGTCTCCTTCTATCGGCTACCTAGGCATAAAAGTCAATCCTCCAGGCCCGAAGAAGGGAATCAGACTCAAGACGTCTATTGTTCATACCCCTACTATTCGCACTCACAGTTATACAATATCATCGGAGATTGGGTCAGATTTTTTCGATGCTGACTACTTGTGTAGGATAACTATACTTTATTGTTATAATGTCATAAAAATTTACTTTATTGTTATAATATAATAAAAATTTACTTTATATTTTTCAGAAAAATATGAAACTAACTTTAGATATCTTTTTTCTATGCATTGGATGCCAATTTGCATGTACTCCAATTTCTTTATTTATTTTTTCTAATATAAGGTGTACACTCAAAGTAATAATGAGTATGCAGAAGAAAGAAGGGAAAGGAACTCTTGTGTGCAAAAGTTCAGTTCATCACTTTTGCCTCAACCCAA